GCCCCCACGGGGAGGTTTTTATTTTTGGTTTTTTTTTGGGTGTTCAAGGTTTAGGCAAAATACGGGTAAAGGGGGTAAATCCACCTCTTTCGGTTGGGTTTTAGTTAGTTTGGGGTTGGGGTTCGGGTCCCGGGATTCGGGGTTTAGGGTGTGGGGGGTGGGGGGGGAGAAAAGTGGTAAGGGGGGGGTTTGGGTCAAAGGAAAAGGGGGGGGGTAAAGGGGGGGTTAGGGGGGGAAAAGGAAGGGCAGGAAGGGTTGGGAATGTTAGGCTTTTAAATTCAACACCTTATTTTTGGGACCAAATTTTTTGGGGGGGGGGGGGGTGGGTTTTTTTGGAAGGGGAAAGGTGGGGGTGGGGGGGGGGGGAAGGGGAAAAAAGGGTTCTTTGGCTTTCCTTCCACTTTTTTTTTAATGGGGGGGTTGGCTTCGTTTGGGGCTTTTTCCGGCTTTTAGGAGGGGTGGCCCTTTTTTTTTGAAAGGGGGGGGGGGGTTTCCCCCCCCCCCCCCCCCCTTCTCTTTTTCTTTCTACGCGTAATCGTCTCTGGGCCGTGTTTTCGCTCCTGCTTGGTCACACAACAGCTGCGTGTCGGCGTTGCACCTGGACACGCTCAACAAGCAGAGAGCGATGCTCCTCGTGCGGTCCTTCGTCGCCGGCAGGCACGAGGAAATGCATCCAGAGTTGATTTCCGTCAGGGTGAGGGTGGGGATCTGCGTACGCACCTGCGCTTGGTTACCTATGCTCTCGTATCAACGGCTCGAGATGTCTCGCTTGCTTGGCACGGCGATCTCGTGACGACTAGATTGAGCCTGATCCACTTTTTTGTTGTTGTGGGCGCAACTTCTGTGGCTGGGGCCCTGTTTCGCAATGGTGCTCAACAAAGGCCAACCAGACCCGATGCCCTTGATTTGTGCCCGGTGCGACCCTTGCTGCACGACAAGGAGCGAGTGTGGATACCACTTAAGCTGTGGTGGAGATACAAGCTGCTGGGAGGGCGACTGGCGAGCCTGGCCCAGGATCGGAGCTCGTTGCTTCAGCTCAAGGAGGTTTACGGAGAAGAGAGGTCAGCCAAGGACCCGGCTGTTGTATTGTTTTGCAGTATTTCATGTTCGTGTGTGTGTGTGTGTGGGGGGGGGGTACTCATAGTCGTGCGTGCCGTAGTCGTTAGACCATTGACCTCGCCACCCCTACAAAGCCGGGACGGAGCACGCCGGGTTCTCACCGGACCAGGCTCTCACATCACCAAGCGCGAAGCGCCGTGAGGTATTTGGCGAGTCGCATGAAGGGTGCGCTGCATCCTGCTAAGGGTGTTCGGCATCTTGTGCTTACTTCCTTGCGTACGGATGACAGCTGCGTATGACTTAATTTATTTTCTGGTGCGTTCACTTCCAGAAACAGCTATAAGCACTGCGTAGCTGCCTCGAGGATGCTTGACCATTTTAACACAACGTGGTGCGATCATCCCCCTTGCGCGGAGTGAGGTTTCTCCACCCCGCACAACATGATCTACTCGACCACCATTATGGTTACCGCCAAAAAAAAACAGAGGTAAAAACCCCCCGGTAACCTGGTTGCCGAGTTCACGAAGTGAATTGGCTTCTGTTACAACGTCGTTGCCAAGCGACGAAAACCCAACCGATGGCAAACACCGGGGTGTGTATGTGTGCGGGGGGGGGGGGGGGTCTGTGGGTTTTGGTGATCGCTACACTGGTTTGCGTTGAGCAAAAAAGGTGACATGCGTTTCTCCACACACACACACTCATGCCGATGCATCGCCGGATTTTTCTTTGTTTCTGTTTGCTCCTTTGGTGTAAACCCTTCCTTTGCCGTATACGTCTGCGCTCTCGCGCGGTTCGTGGCGGGTGACCTTGCCTCTGGTGCGGTTTCGCTCGCCTCTCAATGACGTCGCGCGTGTTAGATTCATGGCGGCAATGAGTCCTTCGGGCTGCCTTAGCGTCGTGCTGAACTCCGCGGCGACCCCGGAAGACATGCTGAAGGCCTACTTTCTGTGCGTCGTGTTCTGGGAGAAGGTGTGTTTGTTGCTGTTGATGATGACGAGGGTGCCCTTGTTGTTGTTTCTCTTTGCTCGTTGTTGTTGTTCGCTTGTCGTCGACCCTGGAACATGCAGCCGCAGACGGACACACGCGAGGATTCGTCCAGTGTTTTATCGCCAACGTTGTACATAGAAGTACACCAGAAAGTATAAATTCGCATTTGTACAACCCTACGCATGGTAAGCACAAGGTGAACCACAGCGCCCACCCTCAAGCTGACCCCTCCCCCATCCACCACAACCTCCCCCCGTGGGACTCACCATCAGGCGGCGTTGTTGAAGGGAGTGGACGTGCGCGACTGCCTGGAGCGGGAGCGCTGCCTCTCTCTGCTGACCGAGTCCCACCGGTTCACCCAGGAAAAATTCGGAGAGTTTGTGTTCAGCTTGCGGCGAAACGGCTGGGACGTGGACCACCCCCTCCTCGGGTTCGGACCTTGGCGATGCGACTGGGAGCTTTCCAAGGGAGCCAAGGATGAATAGAGGGAGAGGGCAGGATTCGTGGTTCGGGATGCCCACGCTGTGCCGTGGCTAAATGTCGGGTCCTCTGCTTCTCATTCTCTCTCTCTCGCGCACGGACGTGTAGAGCTTGATCGTGCAGGACACGCTCTTTCTCTACGCCAGCGGAAGATGTAGCATGGACAAAGTGCAGTAGCGGCTGTAGTGCACCGCACCCGAAACCGTGGAGAGTAGATTGTCGAATGCGTGTTTGCTGTGGCGTGCACGCTGTGCCCTGATAAATCGAGCAGTAGCGGCCGTTACAAGAGGAGGATCATCGGGCGGGGATAACGCGGTGCCCGGTTGGCTAGCTTCCGAAGTGTCTGTTCTTTGTTTCTTGCTTCCCAGAGAGGATCGTTGACGCGAAGACGCCACCACCGGGATGCATAACACCCATCGAAGGGGGCGGGCGGACTTTGTGTGTTACAGTACTGCGGTTTTGTGTTGTCTTTTGTTCTGAAGCTACCTCCAGACTGGCTGGTGATCTCGTCGTGGACGGGACGGGTGGTGTGGAGTTTGGATTTCGTTTTTGGTGTGTAGGTGGATGGGTGTCATGTACCGGCATTCGATGCAAGGCGCACTTCTCAACGAGAGCAACGGAGAGGTGGGCTCAGTAGTTCAGGGCACCAACAACACGTCGGGGTCTTGTCACGGCGGACAGAACTCTGTTACCGTTGCTGTTTCTTCACGTGAAAGGGGTAGAAGGAAGCTTGCATTTTTTGCCGACGACTTGTACCTCCGCAATGACCTTGCCTGAGCGGTCACTCTTTGTGGGTTCAGTCGATGGCGGTTGTTGAGCATTCGACGTACAGTTGTGTACTGCTTGTCGTGTAGTTTGCGTGTTGGTTGTAAAGTGTTCGATAGATTGATTGAAAGCTCTTATTGGCGTGCTAGAGTGGTGGTTGCTCTCTCGACGGCTTCTTCAGAAAGCAACCCACCCCCCCAAGCGTCAATGAGGTCCTTTCTGGTGCGGCATGATGTTTTGTGCTTCTGCGTCAATATAATTATCATCGTGTGGAGGACACCTGTCAGGAGTATAACCAACCATGTGTGCACATACAAAGTGTAGGAAGATATGGCTCCCTCGGGGTATCTTGTCACAAGGAGAGTGACAGGAAATGCACCGTCGGAGATGGATATCTTCCGAAGTCCCTGGCCACTTGCCGAAAGTGGAAGCGGAGAGTCTTCGACTCTCCTCTCCCTCTGCCGCTATGGCCACTCTCTCTTTCTACCCTCTTCTCCTCGTTTACACATCACGAGAGGAAATAGCCTTCCCCTGGCAGTGGGATAATACTGCCACGGCACCGGCATCTGTCTCCGACAATAGCCAGTGTCCTCATTGGCGTCGACTAGAACACGGCTTCGCCGTGCTACTGTAGCGAGGAGAGACAACCAAGAAAAAGAGAAACAACATGCCGAAAACCTCTTCACAAAAGCGGAGAGACTTACGCGATGAAGTCAGGGAGGCGAACGCACTCGTCGCTGACCAGAATGCGGCGCTGGCGAGGCAGGCGCAGGAGCTGGAGGAGCTGCGGAAACAGCTCGGCGTCACTGTTTCCCCGTCACCGTTGATCTATCTCTGAAACGCCGGGAAGGGGCACCCCCTCTCAACGCGTGTCTGCGCATCGTCCCTCTCGGGGAGACCACTCCCAACAGGAGTCGATTCCCGAAGAGGACGAGCCGGGCACCGGTGAGGAGAAAGGAGCCACC